GCTTTCTTCAAGATCATTTAAATGCAAACTGCCAGTTCTTCCGGATAATGAAATCGCTTGGCAAAACCAACTTACACTGTATTTCAGTCTTCTTGTCCCGGTGAGGCCACCTAGTGCGTTTAAAACAAATTCCTGGCTCTCCCTCTACGAAAAACAGTCGTCTTTGGGGGACCCACTGCATTATTTTAACGAGCACGCCTTGAACGATGCCCCAGCACTAACGGCCAAGCTCTGACTCCCCAACTCTGCCAACCATACTAATTATCATCAACTTGGCAATACATTCTTTTCACAATTTAACACAAAACCCTGCGCTGAAAAAAAAACTCTTGAAAGCCTAATAAAGACAATATATACTCTGTTTTACATTTATTTCAACCAACAATGTAAATTACATAGTAATTTTTTGTATCACAAGACCCAAACATCAATAAAAAGAATTCTGCTTCATTACGTCACAAACAGCATTGCTTTTAGAAGACGTTTGCCAACAATTGGAGGAGTTCAGAGACTAGACAAATATAAAATATTTTTTGCGGCAGCACAGTAGTTAGAACTATAATATAACAAGGCACAAAGCTCTATTAGATAAAACAGCTCTTAGGCAGTTAAAATAAGAATAAAATTAAAAAAAAAATAGGTAACTAGACAAAAGAGACTCAATCTTTCAAGCACTAACTGTAAATATTTGCTTAGTTTTTGAAATACCACACTGCCACAGTAACCAATATATGTTACCTCTGAAAAGTGAGAATCCTAGCGATGTTTCAAAAATTTCTGAACTTTGAGTCTCCCTTGTTTATTGCACAAAATTTGAACCTATGGCCAAATGTAAGGTAAAAACGGTGAGGAGATGCTGAACAATAAGACAAAAAAAAACAATAATGCTAATACGGTGATTCAAGCTTCAACAATTATTTACTATTTTGTCAGAAATCAACGTTCGGAACTTTTTAAATAATACAGCAGTACTCTTATTACTGCTGTTATTCCTGAACAGGAAAAAACATATATAATTAGACTTAAAACAATAAAGATAAGTAGAAAATTAAAAAGGAATGTTACGTCGTTATAGTGCAAAGTCCAAACCTATATTCCCCCCCCCCCACCCCCCAAAAATTAGTCCCTACATTTAAACAAAAAAGATCAGTTATTTTATGTATTGTACTTCTTGATAGCCGTCTGAAATATAAATAAACAGAAGATAAAACACAAAAAGTTTCAGTTTAATCAGTAGCTTTTGGACATGTTAGATCAATATCTGCTCCAGCCTTTTTAAAAGTGACTGTTTGAGAATCATTAGTTGTATGGATCACTATGTTACGAACATTCGAACCAAGTGTACATCGAACATTTTCACTGACACTCACAGACAGTTTCTTCTTCAAGGTCCTGAATCAATAAACTATTATACCCTTGATTAAAAAACACCAACAAGCGGAGTAAAAACATTTCAGTGCTATTTAAAGACGGGAGCTGCAAAAAAAAAGCAGAATAAAAACGTCTAAGAGACAAAGCATAATTTAAAAAATTTTACACCCTTAATAATACCGTTCAATATGAGCCCGAAGAACGCCAACTAACTCTCCTACTCTGCACTCATTTTTCGGAGTCACGAGACAACAAACAAAGTCATTGTCACCAGTGTGTATCACAATGAGTTGACTATCATCTTTGGATACACTAACACCGTCAATCTGAACTCAAACAGAGTGAGATTCATTTCAACAGTTTTCCTCATAAAACGAGGCTACGTTTTTACAAAATCAGCTAATTAATCAGCACAACCAACCTTTTCAAGATTCGTAACTCCCTTCATAAGAGTGAATTTCTTCGGATCCAACTTTGCAAAAAACTTGTCTGTTACAATTAAAATGCGCCTTGCACTTTTGTTTCGCTTATTAAATTTCTAAAATAATATTAATTCAGATATTTAGGACCGGACTTTGGACATTATTTCAGCCAAAAAAAGCACGATTCACTGACGACTGCAGCGAATGTAACAAAAAAGTTTTATAAATGAGAGCTCACCTGAACATACGATGAAAATAGCACTTTTGAAAAAGGATTACCAGACTTAAGGTGATCAAGCCCTGGTTTGTAACCAGCTGGCCGACCAGGAGGTAGAATTTCTTCACCCTATAAGACAAAATTTAACTCCAGATATTATCCCCCGGTGAAAATAAAACTGAGAACAAAATGAATATTCCTTTTAATGGTTAACTCACTGCAACAAAACGTTTCAAAAAAAAGAATTCGCTTACTTGCTCAAGATAGTCGCCTTTCCAAGAACGCATTATTCCCCAACTTTTACGTTCTTTGTTAAATACTTCGAAGGCAGCAACTTTTTCGTTAAAGGATTCCTTCAGGAATGGAGGTATTTGAGCAACTATGAACCTAGCTCGCCAGGCCTTATGAATCTTTTTCACTGTTTCAACAAAATCATTCAAAACAGCTGGGGGTTTTGGCCAAGCCAATTCCTTACCATAATCAGGCAAGTTTTTAACGTCTCTAAAAGCCAATTAATCGCTTTTTCACCCCAGGCAATTCGAAAACCATTTTGTTACTTCTACACATGAAACAGGAATAGAACTTAAAATTCTAAACCGCCTATAAATGTCCAGAAAAAAAACGAACTTGAAAGTATTGACCAGAGTAACAATAAACGAGCGTAATTTGTAACGCCGATAACGAGTCATGATGAGTAAAGCGGCCTTCATGCGTTTATACCTCCAACGAGCCAAAGTGCCTCTCCAGTTCTTAATACGGTTGTTAAACACTTGTATAAAGCCTCACATAAGTCAAAATAAGTTCAGCAAATGCACCACCTTTTGGAGTAACAGAATGATACCAGGTATCTTTTCAGATCGGCGTTCTTCCAGAGTAAAAACTGTATGAGGCGAACGGATGAACAGTTTCGTTTTTCCCTTCACACAATCATCGGTTAACTTCAGTTCTTCAATTATTATCATAGTATTTGATTCCGCTGTACCGCTTTTCGGTTTTGGCCATGTTTTTGAGGAAAGCAGTTTGTACCTAAAAACTTGCTAATCTACTTCCTGAGCCTCACAAGAGGTAAACAAACAAGTGTCATTAGTTAGCATTAGAACGCAGAAGCTAAAAAGTGGTAATCTCACTTCAAAAGCGTCCCGTATATGGTAAACCCCTAAGCTCTTTTTCCTCCTCATTGAAAAAATCTTTTTTTTTTTTTGTGTCTAAGTCGTCTTTTTCACATTGTTGCTGCCAATTACCAAAGGTTAATACATTAAGGAATTTTACAATAAATGATGAAAAGAGTCCTCTTAGTGCCACAAAGTTTGTAAAAATGAACACAAGATAAATTTTTATTTGAAGCTTCTCCCTCAATGAAAGTTAAACGTGCAAAGAAAAACACTAAAGAGGTTCGCAGAACCAAGCAAGTTTCTAATTCTATAACTACGGGAGCCCTAAAACAAATCTATTTCCGATTTTAGCAAAGTAGCAGACCTGTTAAATCTTGAGTACTTACCAAAAACCCAGCCAAAACTTTGATTTCTGTCGTTTCAAAAACGAGAAAAGACCAAAAGATCTGAGGTAGAAATTTCAGGAAAAAACCTCTCTTTTTGGGCTGCATAAGAGGTCAGTGAAGGAAAAGCTTCAGTACAGCTTGTAAACACTTTCTTACTACAGAAAAACAAAGAAGAAATTCATATGAAGTCCCACATCACTTAAAAAATAGCTTCTAGATTTGCCGAATCTTTACTCGCTTGTTTATCACTTCTTAACAAATTCAAAAATAAAGCTCTATGCAATCCACGCTACTGAAAAAAGCAAACAGTTTGACCCATGAATAAACTTTACAAAAATCTCAGTCTCGCAACTCAGTAAATAAAGTGATTTTCTAGACGTTGTGATCCCATGTTACTAATTTTTTTGCTCTATAACGCTGGATGCCTCAGCATCTTCTGCCGTAAGCACAAAATCTGTGTGAAAAAATATTATTAAATGTACAGAAATCTGGTTTACAGTTGTAAAGCAAAGAGTTGTGTCAAGTCTTCTGAAGGCTCATTTTCTACCACAAAACTTTGTTGTTCTAGCCGACAAAAAACCCCTCGAAAAAACATTAATTTGAAGAACAGGGTATATACCTATGCAAGAACCTTTCGTACGACATTCTATATGCAAAGCCAGCTCTTCTCACGCGTACATTTTCCAAAAGCCCCAAGTACCGGACCTAAATAATCAGCATATCTATAAAAAGTAGAATAAAATCATCAACTGCAGCAGATAAAGCAAAAAAATACTTTAAATGATTTTCAAAAATGCCAAACATTTTGACGTAATATGTAACAGCAGAGAAATTAAAAAAGCTTTGTTTCCGATGTAAAACAGAACCTGGTGTTGTACGCGTTCTAAATCAAAGGCGACACTAGATTTCTCCTCATTTGGTTTGATGCAACGAATGTAATGAGGTTCTTTTGAAGCCAGTTGGATAACTAATTCTGCCATTGAGTTCTACAACACTCCATATTTTACATTTGAATCCCATTATTATAATAATATTCCATCTTCATTATTAGAGCAAAAAACTGAGTTACACATTGAAAATAAAAATTTGTAGCAAACATCATTTATCGCTGCCAGTGTACTGACACCTTACGATTAAGGCTTACTTTAAACAACGTTCCAGCGGTTAAAGGTCTCTTGTTGACCTCCGTTACTGCTTTTGCACCATCAGGAAAGAGTAAAGAAAGAAGAGAATTTTTACTAAAATAAAACAGATAAACAGAATAAATTTGGTTATAAACTGGTGCAACAACCTGCTCTTATTACAGAAACAAAGATAACTAAAAAAACTCATTGATCATCGGTGATAAAAGGCCTTGTCACAAACCTGTTGTAAAGAAGTCTTTTTAGGTCTTGAAAAAGTGTATCTTTATTTTTGTCAATAAATCCGACAACATTATAAGTCACGTCTCCAGCATAATGAGTGATACGAAAATCCTCTTTAAAATTCAATGATTTATCAGAAGGTTGTAACTTCCTACTCATATAATGTTTGTGACCAGCTAATGTTTTGTCCATTTCTTCAAGAAAAATCTGAAAAAGCTCGAATTTCCATCATATCTTCTTCCTGTTTTTGAACTTTAAATATGGTTTCTACTTCATTCTCTAGACCATTTATAATTAAGTAAGACAAAAAAGAATATTTATGAGAAGAAACTGCAAAACGAAATATCCGGCGAACTGACAGAGTCATCGATTGTGCCCACAGTGTAACATGCTTCATCTAATAATGCTATAATACCAGTTCTCGGTTGCTCCACAAGATCACAAATAATCTGGTTGTTAAAGTAATCGATCTGAAAGGTAAGGATAGCAAATAAGTCGTTAAAATAGAATATGCAATTCTTAAAAAAGGTGAGACTTACATGCACCCATTTAATTCCCTCTCTTTCATACTCTTCTTGTTCTTGTTTCAGAACGAGCTCAATAAAAAGCTGCTGCAGTTTTTCGTTGCAATAATTAATGCAAAGCTGCTCGAAGCTGAAATAAAAAACAACAAAATGAAAAAAGAATGGAACCTTTATATCTCGCTTTGAAACAATATGGTCTCACCAAGTTTTCTTTTTATATAATACTTCATAAAAGACGTCACAAAATGTTTACTTAAAATCGCATTACTGGAAAAGTGATCACTAATGGCAAAAACTACCTGTTCACACCAAATATTTCAAAGCCATAAATGTCCAGCACTCCAATAACAGAACTTTTATTTTTAGCCGCATTTTGATCTAACTTAATTGCGTCATTTACTCTTTGAACTACCCACGTAAAAACCCTGTCATAAATAGCCTAAAAAAGTATGATATGTACTTTCAACTACTGAATTATACCGAAGTTGTACATTACAAGTATGAAAAGATATGACTTCTCAAAAAAAATAAAATAAAATAAAATAAGAGTAAATATGAAGAAAAAAGAATATATAAAATAAACTAATTTTAATAACTAACTATAGAATTAAACAGCCCTTCTAATGTACAATCAAAAGCCATTAAACAAACAGCCTTGAGCTTTAGTTGTCTTAAACTGAACTAATAAAACTGAAATGTACCTTTGCGAGAGCATCACGAGTATACAAAGCGGCATTAACGTCATGACGTTTAGAAACAATGTCACCGTGAGCTGCTACTACCTTAAACAACTATCTCACTAACTTCTCGCGCACAGACAAAATTATTATAACAACAATTAAATAAAATAAGAGAACTTATGAGTGTTCTCAAACTGAAGGCTTATTCAACGACCTGTTCACATAAAGCAGATTGCAATGCAACGTCAGTAACTTCGAAAACATTCGCTGCCGTTTTCAATGAGCTTTGATCCTTAACAAC